TTCAACTTTGGACATAGGTGTTTTGGGTTATATCGGCATACTTTAACATAAGGAACACCCTCCCGAAGTTTGGTCCATTCCTCCTGGGACACCCTGTATACACTAAGTATCTTAAGATTGACAATGAACTGGAAAGGATATGAGAGAAAGTGGTCATTGCCCAGTTTGAGGTACTCTCCCAGTATTCTTCTGGAAGATCTGAGAAAAATTGTGAGAAAGTTCAATCAGGACTTAAATCTGGGACCTCCTGAATATGTGGCAGGAGTGCTGACCACTCAACTGCACGGTTGTTGCAAAATTAGAGTTAAATTAGTGGAGGTAATATGAACAATTTAAAATCTGAAACTAGTTGACCTTTCAGTAACAAAAATGGAATGTCTGAGAAATGACAATAAAATGTGATGAAACAGACAGTAAGAGTGAAGACGTTGGATGTTTTTGTAAAGGCATGAATTAATTTAAGAAAGGCTGTCAAATTAGAGTCAGCTTTGTAAAGAATGACAATGGTTAACCTACTTGCAGATTTGTAAGATATTTAGACAACATATTTTAATCAGCAATTAATTATGTTTGACTGAATTACATACTACTGAGCCACTGATACCCAAATTTTGTTTTTATGATGCTGAATTTGTCATTGAAGGACCAAGAAGTTGTAAATAATTATGTACTGATTATGTTCTACCAGAATTGCTAAAGCAGCAGTTGAAATATTATCTTCTGAGATCCACAGACTTACTCATTCTTATGGGGCTAAAAGAAGTAACCACTGGGCTGATAGGAATCTTCATTAAATATTATTAAGGACTATGAGATCAACAAAGAAATGGATGATGCATGTATTGTGGGCATGTTTAATTTTAGTTGAATGATGTGAAGGAAGGAAATTAGGTTGTATTTATTTATTATTTGTTTAATAATGCTGGAAGTAACTCTTATTATTGCTGCGAAAGCCAGAAGGAAAGAGACCACAAGGAAGACCAAGGCGTAGGTGGGTGGACAATATTAGAATGGATCTTAGAGAGAGGGATATTATTGATTGGATAGATCTGGCTCAGGATAGGGACCAGTGGAGGGCTCTTGTGAACACAGTAATGAACCTTCGGGTTCCATAAAATGCTGGGAAATTCTTGAACAGCTGCTGAATTGGCAGCTCCATAAGTAAGTAAGTAAGTAAGTAAGGAAGTAACTCTATATATAGCATCAGATTGTAGGATAATTAATGAATGATGAATTAGAATGTGGAAGAAAGGAGTCGTGGCCTGTATATAGGTACTGCCATGGCGTTTGCCTGGAGGGACTGTTGAAATCCACAAAATTGTGTCATCTGGGAGAGTCATTATTCCTTTCAAGATCTGAATCCAACACCTCCTAAATACAAGTCAGTAACATATTGTCTTAGCCAACTTACTTGGAACAAGTAGGAGAATAATATTAAAGCAGACTTTAAAGAAACAGGCGATGAGAATGTTAACTCAGCTGGCTCACAGTAGTCTAGTTGAGGACTTTCTTGAACAGGATAAGAAATCTTTGGGGCTACAGTGGGCTATAACTTGACCATGTTGAATGGAGTTGGTGGAAGAAATGTATTGTTATACGAAGGGGGACCCAAAAATAACCGGAACCGACCTGTTGCGCGCGCATGCTTTGTAGTTACGAGTTGTGCTGCTAGGTGATGTTAGCTGGGGGTCTCCCGTGACTCTTAGTGAGCTGGCGTCAGTCTGAGTTAAGTGGTTTGTCTGTGGTGCTCTGTTGTGTGCGTTCCTGTTTCAACTCTTTGGCGATTAGTGAGATGGCCGACCAGAAGGGACAAAGAGTGTGCGTGAAATTTTGCTTTCTGTTAGGGAAAACTGCAGCCGAGACTGTTGGGATGCTTCGGCAAGCCTTTAATGATGATGCTTTGCGGAAATCACAGGTCTACGAGTGGTTTTCCCGTTTCTGGCAACATATAACAGAAGACATGCCACGCCCCGGGCGTCCTTCGACAGGAAGAAATGATGAAAACATTGCCAAAATCAAACGTGCAATTGATGAAGATCGTCGAAAGACCATTGACCAACTTTCTGAGGAAATGAACATCTCATGGAACACAGTCCAGTGAATTTTAACCGAAGGTTTGCACATGAGACGGGTGTCTGCAAAATTTGTTCCTCGCTTGCTCGGAGATGACCAAAGAGAAAACCGCGTGAATGTTTGCCGCGACTTGAAGAGTGAAGTGCAGAACGATC